CGCAGCCCCCAGCCCGCGCCCCCGGGCCCTCGCTCCGCGCCTGGGGCCATGCTCTGCGCGCCTCGGGCCGGCCTGGACTCGGGCGCCTCGCGCCCAGGCAGCCTTTATACACCTCGGGCAAGCCGTGGGCTGGTGGCAGCGCCGTGAGTCACGCCGCCCTTTGGCTTGGCTGGCGGGGCGGGTTGGGGACAGTAGTGGTGGCGCCCGAGCAGCCCGGAGGGACAGGCAGGCAGAGAGGGGGAGAGGAGCCAGCGGAGACAGCCAGCAGAGGAGGGGCGGCAGGGCTCTGCTCTGGGCCGCTTGGCCAGCAGGGCCGGCTCTCCCTCCTTTTCCCACTGCTCTGCCCAGGGGCATGGCTGAGGCCCGGACTGGCATTGCGAGGGCCAGACTGAGGGGGAGGGCAGGAATTGTTCCGGCTTAAGAAGTCTCTGGATTCCAGCCCCGCAAACTCCCCACTCCCACTCTCCAGTCCTCCCCCTTGGAGTAAAGAAACAGCGCGCTCACCATCCCCACGGCCCCCACGGGGTCTGAGGTTGGCCCAGACCCTGGCTGCCCCTCACTCTTCACATCAACACCCCACGTGATCTTTCCCAGGAGGGGGATGGCTAGGGACAAGGAGACAGTTGACCCTGGAAGGTTAAAAAGGCCGCCCAGCAGAACCAGGGAGGTCCAGGCCTGCTGGTAGTAGGCGCCATCCCTCAAGGGACACTTTCAAGATTTGACAAGCCGAGAGCTCTCCGGTGAGACCCATACCTGGGAGGCTGGGGTGAGGAGCACCACACTCAGGAATTAGTGCTAAGCCCACTCTGCCTCTCCCCGCTGGTAGGGTTGGAGCATGTCCCACAATCACCTGAGGTGCTTTTTGGCAGAAGGGATGGTGAGGCTGACCAGGGCTGGCATCTTACTTGGCCTGCCTGCCCTTGTGCCATGGCCCCTTTCTCTTTCACAACTCCCCTGCTTTCCAGCTGGTTCCGATGCCTAACCTGCCTCGAGGGCCACTGTCCCCAACACAGTCACTTCTGCGTCTCCTCAGAGGACCTCTGCACTCAAAATCTTCCTCAGGGAACCAGCAGTTAGCGTAATGGCTATGTCGCTGGATTCCCACGTAGTTGACCGTGGTTCGCGTCCTGGACCCGGTGGCTTAAATCTCATGCCGGGTGCATGTGCGTGCGTGCCCAAGATCCCGAGAGGAGAATGGAGGAGAAGGGATTGTGGTGTGACCATCCCCAGGGGGTGATTTCTCGCTTTCTGTCTCTAGGTCTCTCTCTGTCTGTCTGGCGAGCGTACGCGCCCTATAGCAAAACACCTCTCAAAAAAAAAAAAAAAAATCTTCCTCAGCTCCTCCCAGAGTGGCTCTGCTTCCCTGGGGTCCTATGGGGAAACCCAGTCACAAGGCAAGTCTGCAGTTCTCAGGGCCCAATAACTCAAGGAGGAGGTGACTCCCTGCCATGCAGCCAGCTGGAGCAGTCAAGGAGAAAGGGCTTCTCCCGGTGTGGGGGCCATGCCTATTTCAGTAAGGAGAGGAGACTACAGCCTTACTGTGTCCCCCACAACAGGATGCGGGGGCAGCTCTATGACCATCTTCTTCCCAGAAATTCGCATTACAAATCTTACTCTGTGTGTATGTGTGTGTGTGGGGGGGGGAGGAGGGCACAAGAGAGACAGCCCAGATAGCATCAAACTTCTTGACCTCCAGTCTCTAGGGCAAATCAGGGTAGACTCTCTGAAGAAGCACATGAAGTTACATTTCCATCAGAAGTTCCATGTCGAGGTCTGGATTCCTGAGATTTCATTTTGTTTTACTTTGCTGTAGGATGCATGTGCTCACCAGACACACACACACACACACACACACACACACACACGCACACACACAGAGAGCACTCTTACCTTCTCTCCCTCCAGGAGAGATGGCTATGCTGCAATCCTCTCTCTTCCATTCTCCTCTTGAGATTTTAGTGACATGCGCGCGTGCATAGTGTGATTTTCAAGTCACCAGGCCTGAGACTCACACTGCAGAGTCCGTCATGTGGCATCTAGCCACCTTATCCTCCAAGTCACTTGCTGGTCCACAGGTTCCTGAGTTTTAATGAGAGCATTGACTCACTTGACTATTCTAGAAGAGATTCCAGGGTGAGAAGGAATTAGGAAAGCATTAAGTTCAAGTGGTTCATGAGGGACCCGGCCAGGGGTACAAGAGGACGGGGAAGAGATGGCTGTGATGGAGACAGTGCTGTCTGGTTCCTCCCAACTCTAGCATGCTGCCACCTGTTTCCAGAATTGTCATGTAACTCTTTTCCAGGTGTCCAGTTTAGGACCAATGAAGAGAAGCCCCCAAGAGGCAGAGTTAGGGCTCAGTACCAGAAAGTCTTCACTGAAATCAGCAAACACTCCTGAGCACGTACTGTGTGTCAGGCTCTGCGCCGGGCTCTGGAGTACAGATGTGAGCAAGACAAGCAGGTACAGTGGAAGCAGGTAGAACGCCATGGAGCCTCTCATGCTTCTCTGTATCCCAACATTCATTGTATTCATTGCAGTAACTGTCGGCAGACTACCTGCCACCAACAGCTACAGGATAAGGTCAGTAGGGGGCACGTCTTGTTGGTCCTTGTCACCCCCATCACACAGCACAGTCAAAATGTGCCTTCAGCGATTAGCTGGTGAGCGGGTCACTGAGTGAATGAATGAAAGTCTGTGTGATGGGACCGTTTCTATATGGCACGATGTGTTTGTGGTAGTGCTGGGACTTGGGAACTGGCCCTCCACCTTCTTTGCAAGACTTGCTGACCAGTGAGCAGAAGAGTGAGTGCCCAGTAGCCTGAAATGACTTCTTCCCCCTCACTCCCAGTTCAGAACTCAGAGCCTGTGGACAAGACAAAGCGTGGTCCACTTGGAGTCAGCCAGACTGTCAGACAAACTCAGCCTGAGAAGTTGTCCCTTTTGGAATGTAGGACTCAAAAGCCTTGCGGCATGGCCGCCCAGTGAGCTGGGTGGGTGGAAGACCTGACACATGGCCAAGAGAGAGGCAGGCAGAGGGCAAAGGAGAAGCCAGCCTCCTTCCTCACCTGCCCTTCCCAGATCCCTTGCCAACTCTTTCTGTGTAGGATTATGGCATCTGACGAGGAAGAAGGGTGGGCATGTTGATACAGCATCTAAGACAGCTATCTCTGCTCATCTCTCACCCTGAAATGGCTGTGTTTCAGCAGCTGCCTTGCTTGGCTCTTTCTCCACAGTCCTCTGTCTTCTATGATGCTCTTCCTGCCACAATGCCATGTGCCGACCTTTCCCCTCCACTGACCCATCTCAGTCTTGACTCCTGTGCATGTCTGGCTCAGAGCCCCTCCTCAGCAAGGCTTGGCTTCCTATCCCAGCTCCAAGCCCTCCTGTTCCCTGAACTCTGCAAGCCCCAGGGGCTCAGGGGCTATGAGCATGAACTTTGGAATCAGACTTCAGCTTAAAAAAAATTTTTTTTTTGACTGTGACTTTAGGTACAGAACTGAACGTCTCAGAAACAGAAATTGTGTCTGTTTCATAGGATGGTAAAGGTTTAATGAGAAGATACATGTAAGCACTTGGTTTATAGGGGATTCTCAGAGCAGGGTAGTGTGGTTGGCTGTGGGCTGTGTGAACTCACTGCTCTTCATCTGTGCTTTGTGCTGTTGGCCAGCATCTTAGTGCTTCAGTAGGGTTGTGTATGCTTCAGAGACCTAGCTTTGCTGTGTCACTCCCAGCAGGGCCTCGTGCTAAGCAGGAATATGTGATGAACTAGTTAATTAGCTAGTCCCGCTTTTGATGCTTATCATGACACAGAACTTTTTTTTTTTTTTTTTTTTAAGATTTGCTATAAGGTACCTGTGCTTATTGGAGAGAGACAGAAAGAGGGAAAAAAGGAGAAAGTACCCCTTAGGGAGGATGATCACGCTACAATCCCATCTCCTCCATTCTTCTCTTGAGATTTTGGGCACACATGCATATGTACCTGGTGTGTTTATCAAGTCGTGGGTCCAGGACTTGAACTGCACTGTCGGCCTTATGGGATCAGCTGCTTTAACCACCATGCCGCCTGGTTGGCTTGAGACATAAAACTTTCAAATGCGTGGTCAACTTAGGTTCTTACTTGAATCCTGTGGTTTTGAGGTTGGCTATGTGAGGCCTCTGATCTGTGGCTTCCTAAGCCTGTGGAGACTTCGAGAGAGGCAGACACGTTTCCATAGGCTGCCCTGCCTGGTACTTCTTGGGATGGGCTGGTACTTTCTACTTGTAATTATTATTTTTTAAGTTGCTGTCAGTCTGGCCTGTTTTGTTGACACAGGGGCCTCAAGATACAGTGGGGACACGGGGAGATATCTGAACTCCCTTTTCTGGAGACCGAAGAAGCCAGGAACACTGCGTGCTGCCTTCACAATGAGAGGTAGCTTTTCCATTAAAAGGCAGATGCTTCATTTCTCAAAGTTAAATAGGATGGTCCTTAAAAAATGATTCCAGCTGGTTAACTTCAGGGCTCTGGAGAATACAATCCAATTCCAGAATATACTCCAACTTTAATTCCACTGTGTTTTCTCCTGATTGTGAAGAGAGTTCTTTTCGTTTATTCTACAGCCTGGCGCTGGGTTTTGGTCATCTGTGGTGAGGCTGGCAGCTCTGCCGGGGCTGCTGTGGTCTTGCTGCCTCCCACCCTACCCCTGCTCCTTGCCAGTACTTAGGGACAATGTCCCTCTAAAAGTTTCTGCTGTGGACATCCTCCACTTAGCCTCCTCTTGTTTTATTCCCCATTCCTACTCATTTTCTTTCTTTTTTTTTTTTAAATGCCATAGGGTACGTGCACTCGCCAGAGAGAGAGAGAGAGAGAGAGAAAGGAAAAATGAGAAATCACCCCCAAGGGAATGGCCACAGAGCAATCCCTTCTCGTCCATTCTCCTCT